ATTCAGTAAAAGCCAGGAAGCAGGAACCAAGACTGTGGCTTAGGATGCCTCCTGTGAAACCAGCACCCATAGCAGTGTTGGTTCATGTTCCTCTGCTCCACTTCTATCCAGGTCTCTAGTAATGTGTCTGCAAAAGCAGTGAGAAGTGGCCCATGGACTTGGGTCCTACCAGGCCTGTAGGCGATCCAGGTTGAACCCAGCATTGCAGCTGTTTGAGGAGAGAACCAATATGAAAGTGAAGTTGAGGAAGAATTACCAAGACCTATCATGTATTTGCTAGAGAGGTAGCCTAAAGATTACTCCATTGAGAGAAAAGGTACTTGGAATCTATGTTGCCTATTGATATTCAAGGAGAGTAAGCATTCGGAGTTGAATGTCCCTCATTTGTGGATTTAGCAATATATAGTTGGCCTTTATATTTATTAACAGTTTCAGTGATAGATGTAAAAGTGTGATTTTGGGGGCCATCTGTATGCTGGCAGGTTAATCACCACCTTTGATCTCATGTTGAATGCTGTGTCAAATACCTGTACTCTGCATCCAGTCCAGCTCCTTGCCCTGTGCCTGAGAAGGCAGCAGAAAATGGCTCAAGTCGGGCCTGTCACACAAACGTGGGAGGTCCAGATGGAGTTGGCATCATCCTGGCTCAACCCACAGGCATTCAGCCATTTATGAAGTAAACCAACAATGAAAGATTCCCCCCCCCCCATCCTTATCTCGCTCTCTATGAAATAAACTTTTTTTAAAAAATAGGTTGATTGTAGTAGGTTAAAGCAAATGGGAAAGGGGTTGCAGTCAGTGTGTATGAATGGACTTGTGTTAGAAAGTTCACGGTAGAAGTAGGATCATTGCTGTCTTCAGCACGTGGTATTGCAAGCTACTCCTCTGCCTCCAACAGCAGCAACCCATGTGGGTGCCTGTTGGTGTCCCAGCTGCTCCACTTCAGATCCAACTACTTGCCTATAGCCTGGGAAAGCAGTAAACTATGGACCGAATACTTGGGCCCCTGCACCCATTAGGGAGACCAGAAAATAACTCCTGGCTTTAGATTGACTTAGTTCCAACCATAGCAACCATTTGGGAATGGATAGTTTGACTCTCCTTCTCTCTGTAAAAATATACCTTTCAAATAAAAGTAGATAACTCTTTAAAAGAAAAAATTACTCTGTTTTGCCCATGAGATACACGAAAAATATACTGGAAGACTTATGGGAAAGATCCAAGAGGAATGGGAAAGTTGGTGATATGAAAAAGAGGAGGGGGATTTAGGAGGCAGTGCTTACATAAGCAAAAAAGGGTAGAGTGTAGGGCACAAGTGGACACTGCCCTTGGAGCTTGGGTTGTTGATGCAGAGTGGCAAGTGAGGTGATAGAGCGTATTCACGTAGCTTGGTCTAATTGCTGTTACGTATTAGGAAAGGTTGTGGTTATGGGAGCGTAGGGACATTATCTTGTATTTTCAGTAAATTGAAGTGCAGAAAGATTGAGGATTATGAAGATGGGAATATGGAGAATTTAGAGCAAGAAAAGATGATTAACTTTGATGCTGGGTAGCGTTGCCTGAATTGAAGGTGGGACTAGAGAGTGCTGCTCCTCACACATGAACTGTTCCAGTTCAGAGGTGTCTAAGACGGGTGGTACAGATTATGGGAAACTTGCTCTAGCAGGCTTTACACAAAAGTGTCTGGGCTAAAACACATAGCCAGGACACTGCCTCCACCTGGGAGTTGTGTGACTATGAACTGTGTTTCGGCTTTAGGCGAGAGCTGCATTCCATTAAAAAAAAAAAAAGGAAGAAAAGACTACAAGCAAACAATGCTTAGTGAGAAAGTGAGGTTGTTAGTGGCCCTGCCTAGATGAGAGGAAGTGGATCTTTTAATGTTAAAAATCACATAATTTAAAAAAAAATTTACTTAACACTCATATTCTGGGTGTATTTAATGTACTCTTGCATGTGTGAGATAAGGCACATGGTGAGGAATGCTTATTTGTTTAACCTTAAAGGAGTAGAAATTAAATGTTCCTCACCCCCCCTTTTTTTAAGATTCATTTTATTTTTATTGGAAAGTCAGATACATAGAGAGAAGGAGAGACATGATTCACTCACCAAGTGGCCACAACAGCTGGAGCTGCACCGATCTGAAAGCAGGAGCCAGGAGCCTTGTCTGGGTCTCCCACGTGGGTGCGGGGTCCCAAGGCTTTGGGCTGTCCTCGACTGCTTTCCCAAGCCACAAGCAGAGAGCAGGATGAGAGGCGGGGCCACCTTGTTCCCAGCATCCATATGGAATCCTGGTGCTTGCAAGGCCAGGACTTTAGCTGCTAGGCTACTATGCTGGGCCTATATCCCACTGTTTTGTAATGATTAAATATTTTTACGCTACCCATGAGATAGAATTTTGCATAAGCATTAGGGGAAAATTAGATAAGTTCAGCATGTCTTGATATGAAGTGATTGTTAAGATACTGTTAAGCATCTAACTAGCAAGATATAAATTGCTGTGTATGATGTCATCCCACGTGTTTAATTGAAAGAATGTGGATATTTGTAAAGATACTCTACTGTTTTGCACAAACTGAACTTCTGTATGTGTTTCTTTTGCTGCTGGGGTGGGAGGGGCCTTACTTGGTAAGGTTCAAAAGGATGCTGACCTTTTCCTGTCCGTTGTCTATGTGAGATTTTTTAAAAGATAAATTCTAAGAAAGCATTCGGGTTGCCAAGTGTCTGCAGTTATGGCTGGGGTAGTAAATCAAAATTCGATCCCAGTTATGTTTTTGGAAGTTTGTTCTACTTTAGTCTTTAAAATGGATTAGAAAAGAGAAAAGCCAGGAGCCTCAATGAGGTTGCTGTGTGAGCCCTGGCTACCCTGAATGTTTTTACGTGCTTGGCTTGAGTTCTCACATGCTACCTTCTGGCCCCCTCTCTTTTTTTAACATCTTGGGTTTTCATCAGTGAGGTCAGCATCTGCCAAAAAGCAGGTGTTTGGGATACGTGATGGCTGAGAATATTCATGGATCAGCCTTTGGTTCCAGACGACCTCGGTAATCATTGACTCCTGAATTCATGTATCACATTTTTGTCTTGACCTTTTATTTATAATGTGTATACTCTGCTATTGATTGAAAGCCCTGTTTATGTCTGCCTGTAGTTTGAACTATAAGTTACTGCCATGGTATAGACTCAGGTTGTTATACGTTGATATTTTCTTTATGGTGCTCCACATGCATACTTGTCTGAAGACTGTCTTTAAACAGTGGCAACTAATCTTGAATAATGATAGCATATTTGCTAAAACTAGATTGCATCAATTTGAATTGATTTGATGTGATTAGATAAGTGCTTAAAACACTGTTTAATGTATACTATAATATTTAATATGGGTGTTTTAATTACTATTAATTAGTTTTGAAGAAATTCAGGAGAATAACATGAGTTCTTTATTGTCCATGTATTTGTATTCTTTAAAGATATGCTCATTTCTTTTTATTAAAATAGCCAGTGTTCTATGCCTGTATTTCTTTTCTTGGAAATGATATTTGCCTGCTTCTGGAAGCACACTGTCAGGGTGATGAATGCAGCCCTTTAGTAGTGCTCATCCCTGTATTTCCTTTTGATAAATTGGACTCTAATGCTCATAGAAATTAATCTACCTTATTTGTTAATAGGTTTCATATTCAGAATGATATGGGAATACTGACAAAATTCACCACTTGGGAATGTTGGCAGCTTTACATTGCCTGTGCCACACTGTGCAGGAGTGTACATTGATCAGCTATCCTGTGTGATCTGTTCCCTAGCTGCTTAATCACTTGACTGATGGCTCTATTGACAGAAAATACAGCCATTTTTCTACTGCTGAATTACAGTTTTCAACTGTGTAAATAAATCTCTGTAACAGCTGGAAGATTTGAAAGAGTAAAAGAGAAATACAATTTATTTCAATACTTAAAGTAACTTTCCGGTAGTATTTCCAAAAGAAGTATGCTTATGTATTGTAAAATTCAGTGGGAATTATCATTGCATAATTTTCTGTAAGCTCATTGTTTAATAATCGCTAATGACAGTATATGACACAGTGGGCTGTAGTAGCTAATGCTTCTTTACAACTCTTTTTAAGTTAATCACGTAAACAAACATTTCAGTTAATTTGATGACCTTTCTTTTGTTTTAGCATGTTAGTCACTGTTTACTTTTAGTATGGTTTTGGTGTACATTATCTGAATTCCTCATAAAAGCATCTGAAATGTTATGAAATGTAAGGCCATCCATTTAGCTAAGCTCTGCAAAGCTCCTCGTACTGTATTGCATGATTGTTTATACAGTCTTGTATTTGTGCTTGGGAACAGATATAATTACATCAGTAAGAGACACAGAAGCAGGAATATTGCAAGCATGTGGAACTTCTTAATCTTGAGTCTCAATGATATAGAGATACTTGTATTTAATTTTAGAAAAGTGTAGCTATTTGTGTTCTTTTCCCATTTAATAAAAATTTACTATAAATATTTATTCTTGATGCTTTTGCCTTCTTTTTCTGTTAAAATCTTGTTTTGAAGTTATAAATTTATTTTAAACAAATGTAATGAACAGGTTTCTATCATCTCAAAATATTAGAAATAAAATGAGAATGTAGGAAAATAATAACAGATGAGATAAAAATAAAAAGTTAATTTTCAGTGTGAGAATTAAGAGTCATAATTTCAATTCCTTTGCCAAGTAGGGTTTTTATTTAGGTGTCAATATATTATTTTCAAGATTTTATTTATTTTTAGTGGAAAGGCAAATATACAGAGAGGAGGAGAGACAAAGGTAGATTTTCCATTTGTTGATTCACCCCTCAAGCAGCAGCAACAGCTGGAGCTGAGCAGATCCAAAGCCAGGAGCCAGGAGCCTCCTCCGGGTCTTCCACATGGGTGCAGGGTCCCAAGGCTTTGGGCTGTCCTCGACTGCTTTCCCAGGCCACAAGCAGGGAGCTAGATGGGAAGCGGCACTGCCGGAATTAGAATCAGTGCCCGTGTGGGATCCAAGCGTGTGGAAAGCGAGGACTTTAACCAATAGGTTACTATGCCAGGCCCTAGGTATCAATTTCTGACTTACTGTGTCTCTGAACTTATTTTAATACGTTAGTATTTAAACCTTTTAATATCTTTTTAAAACCTTTTAATGTTTAATAGCTTGGTAATGACATGTTTTTTAGTGGTAAAGTTTTTTTTTTTTTTTAAGAATAATTTATTGTATTTACAAAAGTGGAGATGAAGAGAGATCCTCACCCACTGTTTCACTCCTCAAATAGTTGCAATGGTCAGAGCTGAACTGATCCAAAGCTGGGAGCCAGGAGCTTCTTCCTGATCTCCCACATGGGTGCAGGGGCCCAAGGCCTTCAGCCCTTCTCTGCTCGCTCCCAGGGCTTTAGCAAGGAGCTGGATCAGAAGTGGAACAGTGGATTCAACCTGCTACCACCCGTAGGGGATGCTGCTGCTGCAGGCTGAGGTTAGTTGGCTAAGCCGCCATGCCAGCCCGATGGCGACAGTATTCTTGTACAGCAATCACAATTGTGTCAATTTTGTTCAGCCATGATATTTGTAGAGGGAGGAAGGTATTCCGGAAGCAGAGTATTTTTGGTTCTCACATAAATCCTCAGCTATACCAAATCTTTCTTTCTCAATATTTCCATGACAGTGTTTGTATTCTTTCCATATACACTAATATTTGTGATTTTTGCTGGATACAACACTATTTTAATTACAGAGCTTGAGGTATAAATTTAGTTGAAATAGATGAATGCTTAATATCAGTATAATCAAGTAGCTTTGGAATCCACAATATAATCATTAGTAGCGGAGGCAGCAGTTCAGTTAAGATTAAATACAAATAACTCCCTTGCATTGCTATTTAGTCATATTTTATTGGACAGAATGTTTACTGAATTAAAGATACCTAGTGACATTTAACTGAGGGAAATTTTGAAACATTAAATAAAAGAAATAATTTGAAGCTGTAATGAAAGCATCTCGATCAATGCATGAAAGATAGCTTGAATCTGAACTGCTTCTCCTTAGCCAGCGGCAGCAGCAGAGTAGCAGGCTTCTAAGTTATCGATTACTCAGTAACTGTGCTGTGAGAGAATATTACTGATAGTCCATAAAGAAGAGCGTGCTATATAGATGTACGTATTTAATGAACATTTCATACTTCTGTTTGCAGAGTACCAGCTACTTGCCGGGTGGCGGGGAAGACATTCAATAGAGTTATTAAATCTTTAAACTTTAAGCCTTCAAATTTTGAGATTTACATAAGAGTTTCAAGTGTGATACAGAAAAGTAATTATAAACATCAACTCTTAGCCTAGATTACCTCATATTTTAATATCATCTCAGCAACTGCATAGTGATTAACTTTGGGCCCATTATTTTTCCTCTAATCCATTTTTTCCTCATCTGCAAAATGTGAGTACTGATCATACCCGCCTCTTGTGGTGGTTTTAAAAATCAGATGATGCACATTGTTTTGGTCGATGAAAGTTGCCATGTAATTAGTCATTGATCTGTGAGACTTCATGTGTTTTTTAGCCCTCAGCCAAGCCTCTGGAAAGAATACTTACCTCATATCAGGAAATGGTGTGTGTGGCGCAGTTGTAACAGAGCCAGCACTCCCAGAGCAGAGGCGCAGCAGGTGCTGGCTCAAGGAAGCAGGAAAGTCTCCTGACTTTAACCTGGCCTTCATCAGTGGACAGGAGATCTCTCTGTCACACTGTTTCGAATAATCTTTGCAAAAAATATATGATAATTTATTTAAAATTGCTTCAGTTATTCTGATTAGATTCCTAGCTAGTTGTCAACAACTTTGTTGAGGTTATATGTTCTATAAAGTGTAACATTTTGTGCTTTGCTCTGAAGTATCAATATTTAAATTTGCATGAAACCGGTCACAGAGTGATGTGTTCTTTAAGCATGTAAAAAAAAAAAGAGGGAGATTTTAAAACCATGTCTGTGTATGATACACAGAATATGCATAGGATTGTGGATTTGTAAGAAAGTAAAGGCGCTGTGCTGGTTCCGTCCTTTTGCGCATGTGTCTGTCATCAGCAGGTCGTTCCAGTGCAGCAGCTTATGGGCGCTGTGCTGGTTCCGTCCTTTTGCGCATGTGTCTGTCATCAGCAGGTCGTTCCAGTGCAGCAGCTTATGTGCTCATCTTATCGGTGAACGGTAGACATGGTGCAGCTCTGTCAGCTTCACAAAATGCTAGGGAGAAAAGTAACTAAAACTTGTTCTTAAAGACTAATTGTAGTTTTCTTTTAACATGTTTTTAATATGCCAAGCAGCTCAACCCACTACATTTTTCCTCACTACATTGTAACATGTTGCTAATTTGAGTTGAAAGCCATGTCAGGTGTCTGGGAACAAAGATGCATCTGCAAGGACAGCAGTCTAGGTCTGCACAATGCTTCATTGCTTGTAATTTGCTCTATCTTAATGAGTTAATCTTGAGATGAGGCCTAGGAAAATTTAAGGAGATAATAAATCTCTATTCCTTATAAACAAACCCACTTGAGAAGCAGAAAAGATTGACTTTCTGAAATGTTGTCATTGTAAATGTAGTGGATGAAACGTGTTACTAAAATGATGCATACTTTTGCTTCCCCTTAGTATTGAATTTGACCGAGATTGTGACTATTTTGCAATTGCTGGAGTTACAAAGAAAATTAAAGTCTATGAATATGGCACAGTCATCCAGGACGCCGTGGATATTCATTATCCTGAGAATGAAATGACCTGCAATTCCAAAATCAGGTATTACAGCACCATTTTGGCATGTTGGCAGAGTGTAAATAACAATTGTTGGATATATAGCTTGCATGAGATTACTTTCCTGGGAGACTCCTATTCATAATGGACTCCACACATGACTATGTATGTGCATAATATATTACTGATTTTAAGTAGGTGTTTTCCTTAAGGATATGAGCACTTTTTCCACTGTAGGTTTAGCACTGTTTTTCTAATTTCCAAATTAGACTTCACATAGCCTTTTGTGTAGTCTTCCAGATAGTCAGATGAGAGTCATTGTTGAAAATATCTGCCACTACATTATTGAATGAAGAATTATTGTAACCTACAAATAGTGTCTGAAAGTAAAAAATTTTTTCCACAGCATAAATGTGTTTCTAATTATCATAATATTTCTAATTCTAAAGAATTAACAGTAGTCTTGTTTTTCATTGGAGGAATAATCTTCAGGTTTTTCTAAGAATAAGGAATAATATAAGAAACTTGCCTGAAAGTACTTTGATTTGGAATTTCGAATATTTTCCAAATTCATCTCTATACTGTCTTATCTTGATGAATAACACCTCCTCTTATATGATAGACTGGATGTGTTTAGATTTGTGGAATATCTGCATGTATATAAAATGAGATGTCTTAAAAATAGGACCCAAATCTTAACACAGACTTTACTGGTCTGTCATATACATGAATCATGCCTAGCCTAAACGTCATCTAGAATATTTTTTGTTTATACATGAAATAAAATGTGCATCGGATCAAGATGTATGTGACGTCATGCTACTGCTCAAAAAGTTTTAAGATTTTGAGACAGTTTGAATTTCACATTTTTGAACTAGCAGTGTTCAATCTGCTATGTATGCATGTGTGTATGATTGAATCAACTTAATATGGCCAATATTATGACCTCTTTATAATTTAGTTGTTATAGCATTCCTTTTTGTTTTCTAATTCATTCATAAAAGTCTTGAGCTCTGATCATTTGTGACCGTGCACATTGATTCTCTGGCACATATCATTGAGATTGTTAGGCCTTGTGTCCTATGTGGAGGCAACAAAGGATAGATATCAAATAGTCATTAAATTTTTGTGTGTCAGGCACTCTTTATGAGCTTTGCACTAGCAGACCTGTAAGATAGTTAAAATTATTGCCCGTCTGCACTTGAAAATAATGGAGACCATGAATGTCGGAAGTTTGATTCTGTTTGATGTCCTTGTCATATGAAACATTAGTCAAAAGCTGCTTTATGTAAATGCAGAAGTTTAGTTACACTGTGTGTTTAGTTCATATGAACTGATTGAGCTAGATCCCTCCAGGAGCTTCAGCATGAGGAGTCTTCCTGTGCCATGCCATACGTGGAGCCCTCGGGGCCTTTGTCATCAATAAAAATGGACACACTTTCCTCAGGTGTCTGAGCGCTCTAGGCACAGCTCTGGGTTCATGGTTGTTTTAGAGCTAATAGAATAAATCACTAATTTCAGTTATAAACGCCAAGAGTTATTACTAATTTTCAATCTGGATGTGCTGTGGGCAGAGTAATGATTAGGGACTGATGTACACCACTTTAAAAAGAGTGCTAATCTTTTTAAATGCATTGAATCTTTATTTCCCATTGTTACATAACCTATAATGAAATACGTTTTAACTTTCTTTTAGCTGTATCAGTTGGAGTAGTTACCATAAGAACCTGTTAGCTAGCAGTGATTATGAAGGCACGGTTATTCTGTGGGATGGATTCACAGGCCAGAGGTCCAAAGTCTATCAGGTAAATAATAACAGTTTTATATATTTATTTATCCTTAAAACTTGTCAAGCTTCCCTGTCGGTCATGCCACTGTTCAGTACTCTTTACACCTGTGTAATGCCTAGTTGATACTAAATACTCTTCTGAAACGTTTCTTCAGACTGTGTTTATAGAATGTATCAAATGAGTTTCTAAAAGCAATAATTTTAGTAAATTCATATGTATGCTAAAGTTTTAATTATTCTTCCTCAATGTTTTAATGTACTTCTCCTTTGTTTTCTGAAGCTGTTGTGCTTCACTCCCTCCATGGTATTAGTACTTGCTGGTTCTTGTAAGCTGTCCTCTAAGTGTGCTCTCTTTGTGCCCAGGAGCATGAGAAGCGCTGCTGGAGCGTCGACTTTAACCTGATGGATCCTAAGCTCTTGGCTTCCGGCTCGGATGACGCCAAAGGTACCGTGCGCCATTTCTGTTCAACTCTTGGTCAGCTCTCAATTCAGTTTTTCTTGTCCTTTTGAGTTGAAGGAATTATGCCAGTGCACACTCATTTTTATTTAACTTGTCTCCTTCACTTGATGATGGACAGGCTACTTGTGTGTAGAATTTCTTGGGGACAGTTAGCAAGTGGCTCATCTCTGGCTTCCTTCTGTTAGAGCAGGCTTCTACCAAAGTTCCTTTCCAAATGCAGCCTTGCATGATGTTTGCTATGTAGAATTTTAATTGTCTATCTCAAAGTAAAGTTTTTTATCTTAATTGTTTAAATAACTGTTTACTGTACTGCTCAAAGCACATCATTCTCATCTAAAAATAGCAAAAAAAAAAAGGTTAAATATTGCTATTTGAAATTTCTATTGTCTTAATGAATATCTTAGTTTTCTCTGAGAGGTATAATGGATGTTACAGCTTTTGGGTAAAGAGCGCAAAAATTAGTTTCTTCTTAGAGACTCTGTATAATACAGGATTTTTGTATCGTAAAAGTAGTATTTCTTTGAACAATTGTAATTTTTATTTCCTGCCTTTTTAAAAGATTATTGCTTCTGAAAGTGATCGTAATATTTTATTGTTACTCCATTCCTTAATACTGGTTTTCACCTTCAAATGTGTGTTTGGAAAGAACGTCTTAAAACACCTGAAGAACATTTCTTGTAGCATCATTGCCTCAGTCTTATTGGCGTGGCGTTCTAATGGGAAGTTGCGTTATGTGGAAAGATAGCAAGCGAGATTTTTGTTGTTATTGTTACTGTTCTTGAAATCTTGAATATATGTGTATTCCAATGTGTATCCTAATTCTGATCTAAAAATCATGTTATATTTACTCTGGTACCTTTGTTGAAGAGCAGCCTTTATTCTACTGCTTTCAGTTCCGATCTACTATTATTAATGAGTTTTCTTCTCCATAATTGAAATTACAACATGTACCACTAGAACAGATAATCAGATTTAAAAGCAAAAGTTTGATAGCTAGCTAAATAGTTGCAGAATATGTTACTTTAGGTGTACTTGAGTCATGTAGTAAATACCTACATAACATTTTGAAATAATGATCTTGACTGAAAGCTCAAAACCAGCTTCTCAGCCCTCCCATAGATGCTTATACTCTAACAATACCATGGCCGTGTGATGGATATTACTTTTGCCATTGCATACTCAACATATACTTTTGAAATTCCTGTAACAGACATGTGTCATGAATATACCTGCAAGCTAGAGACTTGGGTTGTTTAGAAGCCTTTCATGTGATGAGCTGCAGGACTTTCTTACCTTTCTCTGTAGGTTTGCTTTTGGCGGGGGGGAGGGGATTTTATATTGGCTTTAAAATTGCTTGTTTTCAATAAATTCCTCTAATATTCAGACATTCAGTTTCAATTTTTTTGGTTTAGTAAACTAACATGATAGGGAAAGATACGCCTAGAGATGAATTTTCCAAGTTACAGAAGCATTTGGTAATATGGTATTTGTTTTTGTTTTTATTTTCTTTCTATTAGTGAAATTGTGGTCTACCAATCTGGATAACTCGGTGGCAAGCATTGAAGCAAAAGCTAATGTGTGCTGTGTTAAATTTAGTCCCACTTCCAGATACCATTTGGCTTTTGGCTGTGCAGGTAAGAAATGACACCAGTTTTATCTTCTTATGTTAAAGGAGTATCGTAAGTTAGATAGATGAAAATTAAAAATGAGTAACTATCTTTGTAGGCTTACATTTTTTTTCTTTATTAAACTTTAAATTGTAGTATGCAGTCTGCCATCATTACTCATTTAGTAGTATACCTTAACTGTATTATTCTGTCACTTGTTTTCATTTAATAGAAATGAGTTCATTGAAATGTTGCGTGCCTGCATGAACCAGTGCTATTTCCTTATACACGAACAGATCGTAATGATATTTACACAGTCTATGCTTAAGCTTCCTGAATTTGTTTTTCAAGGGTAACTTATGAATTCTGACGTAGGATTCTTACTGATGCCTGCAGTACACAGGGTACTCATTGAGGGGCAATGAATGAGATAGTCTTTTTATTGTAGATCATGTGCTTATGACGAAAAGATCAAAAAAAAAATTAGCCATTGCAGCAAAAAGTGATTTGCAATAGCATCTTTCTTCCCTGGGTTGACTGTGTCTGCTTTCTGTGGGGCAGTGCTCGTTTCTGCTTGTCCTGCTGGTGCAGTTACTGCTGTATCCTCCTTTATTCTATAAGTTAACAGGTAGTTACATTCCTTTACCTTCTGCATCTACTTTTCCCTTTTTTTAAAGTTTACTAAACATCAAAGATATGTATATTAACTTCTTGATGGTAAAGTTTGATTTTTTTTTTTTTTACTAGTGGTATCAGATTTTTTCAAAGAAGAGAAACTAACATGTTATAAGACCAATAACTTTCATAGTTTAAACCTCAGCTTATCTTCTGCCTTTTCTTTTACTCATCTCACTGTATGTGGCATTGGTATACTGGCATCATATCCTAGTTAAGTTTGAGGAAGGCATGGGCATAGTTGTAAGTTAGGATAGAAGTTTCCATTACTGTCCAGAACATTGTTTTTACTAGTTTAGTAGTATTAGTTTCCACTTGAACCTTATTTAAGTCCACATTTTGTTACCAACTAGAATTACGGCCTTGAGAAATTGATTCACTTTTCAAATCTTTTATTTTTAAAACAGATATCAGTCGTAAGGATTATGAAAGAAAGATGCTGTAAAGTGCTAATTCCATGTTGCCTCATGATTGTTTATTTTTATTAAGACTGATTTATTGTACTTTTGATTATAACATGTGCTCTTCTTGATTTTTTTTCATGTTCTGTTTTGTGAGCAGGACCACTGTTTATGAATAGATTATATTATTAGTGTTATAACTATAAATACCAGGCATGAATACCTTCACTTTTCTCCTTCTTGAGAAAGGAAAAAACTACTGTCTCCTAGATAATTTTACCCCACAGTTGCTTCTTTAATTTTGCCATTTGCTTTTTCATAGAAGCTTTGAATTCTAGTATTTCTGTCTATGCAAATTCTTTTAGAATTATTCTCATAATTGTATTAATTGCATTTACTTGCTGATTTTGGAAGCATGGTGAACTTTTTTTAAATAATTATTTATTTTATTGAAAAGGCAGAAATACAAAGAGAGAGACAGAGAGGAAGATCTTCTGTCCATTGATTCACTCCCCAAGCAGCTGCAATGGCTGGTGCTGAGCCAATCTGAAGCCAGGAGCTGCTCTGGAGCCTCTTCCGAGTCTCCCACATGGGTGCAGGGTCCCAAGGCTTTGGGCCATCCTTGACTGCTTTCCCTGGCCACAGGCAGGGAGCTGGATGGAAAGTGGGACTGCCGGGATACAAACTGGTGCCTATATGGGATCCTGGCATATTCAAGGCGAGGACTTCAGGTGCCAGGCTACAGCACCAGGCCTGAAATATGGTGAAATGTCTTCACACATTTTGCTGTTTTTTTGTTTGTGTGGATTATTTTGTGTCTTTCCATGAGATTTTGTAATTTGTTTCTCTTAGATTCTGAGGATTCTTGTAAATTTTTTCCCAAGAATATTATAATTTTATTATTTAAAATTATAGATTATTTTCCATTCTTTTTTTTAGGCTTTTTTTTTTCTTTGCTAAACATAGATTCAAACTATTGATATTTGGGTATTTGTCTTACACTTAGGCATCTTATACATTTTAAATGAAATAGCTTTTTAAAAATTACATAATTATATATTGTATCAGCCAGAAGTGATCATTGGTTTTTTTCTTTCTATTGATTTGTTACAATTTCTTCCTTAAGTCGATAGAGCACCTTACACAGACTTTTGAAGAACCTCTCAGGAGCTTGAATTTCAAGCTTGTTTTTATGACAAAATAAGCGTATCTTTTCCATTTTTTCCCAGAATATACCCTTGAAAATATTCAAATTTTAGCCACTCTTGTTAATTACAAAATTTTTATTTATTAAAGAAATTAATGCAGGTTTTGTTTGCTATAAGACAAGCAAAGGAACGCTTGTCAAATATATCCCACGGATTAGTACCTCTTCAGCAGCAATGAAATAGGAATGTATCTCACTCTTTATATTTAATTTTATACATTTGCATCTAATGTACTTAGGCATTGTAAGAGAATTTTCTGTTGAAAGTAAGTCTATTGCATATAAATTGCAGAAAATAAAGACAAAATAGCCACTTGATTGATCTTGTAAAATTGTGGAATATGCTGTAAGAGCAAGTTAAAAGACACATAGATGGGAAATGTGGATTTCTAAGGGAACAGTGGAAGCTGCGGCAGTTCTGGTGTGAACTCTGAGACATTCAAGAGACACTTTGCTGAACCCCTCCATCAACAAGCCCATTGCTCATGGTACTGAATAGTGATGGCTCCTGGACTGAGGGACTTCACCTGCTGTGCTCAGGGAATACTCTCCATTGTAATTCTAAAGCTGCTTATAAAATGTGAAATTTATCTAAAGAGTTTTTGTGGCTCTCAGTAGAAGAGTATGTAGTAGCTGTTTAAAGGACAATAACTATGTATTATTTCAAATTTTTCCCTCGGACTAGGAGGGGCACCTGTAATCTTGTTATGAGATCTGTATGATTTAGTTATTAGCTTCTCAAATGTTTTATTAATGGCCCACACATTCTCTGCTTTTCTTCGTACCTTTCTCATCTAAAATTTGAATTTTTTTCCTTGATTTGCCCAATAATAATAGTGTGTCTCATTGTCACTCTAAATTCCCAGTGTGTTATTTTATGCATTCAGTTTTTCCTTTTAAATATATGACCTTTGGGAGTCCTTTTATTTGGGAGTAGAGATGCATACCACAACATATCTTCACTTGCCAATCTGCCAGTCTCCATTATGTAGTTCATAACTATTGTAATAATACGGGGAAATAGTGGAGGAGGGAGAATGGAGAGGGGAAAGAGGGAATTCCTGTGCCTATGGAGCCATGTGAAAAACAAAAAATAAAATAAACAAATGATTGACTTAAATCTTTATCTAGATCTCACTCTTTGCCAAGAAACTGAACACATTTCCATCCTATTGAATTAAAATATCCACTGAGCTTAACTGACATCTCAAGCTTAACTAAGTAATCAGTTTGGTTTTCTTTGCAGAACCACTACTGTTTCTCTCTCTTCTTTTTAATTGGTTTTCCTCTCTCTATCCCATCTATCATAACTCCCCATATTAAAGTTGGTTGTGTCTGTTCTTTCTTCTTTTAAAAAATCTATATGATGGAAGTATGCTCACCCCTTCTGTTCACATTTCAGGCTTCCCTCCACATCACCAGTCTCCTCAATAGCAGGTTACTTCCATAATGGCAAATCCATTGATATATTCCCTGTAGAATTTTTTCTTTTTCTTAATCTTTCTCTGAATTTTTCTTTTTGTAAATTACCATTCAATATACTTGATCACTGCATTCTTTGTTCTATTCTTATTGCTTCTTAGTTTCTTTTCCTACAGTATTATCCAACACAAGTAGGAAGTGAATTAACTGTTCAAAGCATAATATGAACTACTGGACAATTTTTAACCGAAAAACCTGCTATCTGTTCTCCGGGAAGGATATTCTTTCAGATGAAGTTAGCCTGCTCCTCCATGTTCTGTGTCTTCCCCCACCTCGTGCATTGCTCGGGCTGCTTCCTTCAGGAGCTGCTTTTCCCCAGACTGGCACTACAGCCAAGCTTCATGTCCTCCAGCACATCATCAATCTCGTCTCCTCAAGACGTTTTGAAAACTTTAAGTCAAGGAGAGTCACTCAGTCATTCCTTTTCCTTTTTCTCTCATTCGCACTTATCTGTGTTTATTTACATACTTTTAAGATTTACTTATTTGAACATCAGAGTTTTGCAGAGAGAGAGAGAAACAAAGAGTGAGAAATCTTCCATCCGCTGGTACACTGCCCAGATGGCCACAACAGGTGTCATGGGCCAAGGCTGAAGTCCAGTGCCAGCAGCTGCTTCAGGGTCCCGCACACTGGGCGGGGGACTGGACAATTGACCCCTAAGCTGTTGGTAGGGCTGGATTGGAAGTGGAACATCTGGGACTTGAGCCAGTGTCCACAGAGATGCTGGGGATGCTGGCATTGCAGGCAGCATTTTACCTTAATGCACCATAGACCCTGCCCGTTTTATTTAACTATTTTGGTTTGATTGCCCTATGTGAATGTAGTTGCAAAAAAAAAAAAAGAAGCCCTTCTCATGTTGACCATTATGTCTCTCAAGATAGGCTCCCAATAAATGTATGCATTTAGAATATTATGTCTAATACACCTTGATTTGTTTCAGCTCAAATTCTTTTAAAATATTTACCATGTGTATTTTTTTTGCAAGGGTTTTTAGAATACAAACCCAAAGTTAAGTTTGGATTTTGGGTTATAAACTTACTTAATCTATAGGACTGTGAGTAGTGGGCTTTCCATTGGGCCCTTGGGTTTTAATTTTTTCAATACATTTGTTATGGAATTCTACTTTAATGGATGGAATTCTAACTTTTTAAAATGTCCTTATGTCCCAAAGGAAGTGATTACAAGAGAATATGGGCACCTGTTCTGATCATAATGGCAGCTAACAGTAGTAAATAATAAAATTGAAATAAATGAGTAGCTTC